TCTTGAATAATCCAGCAAATAGAGTGTCATTTAATTTTAAAATAATTCTTAACAAGTTGAACTTTAATGCCACTAGTCTTAGTTTCTGTATTTACAAAGCAGATCTGGGCTTTTCTCCCCCACATGTTTGAACATATCTTTCCTGTACCCTTCACTGAATTTTCCTTCACATATGCTTCCTCATTTATTCCTTATGGAGTTGTTTCAAGTTCCTTCCTATTCCTTTTTCTGTCCTCTCCATAAACTGCAGTCTCTAAGGGTTGGGTGGGAAGGAAGTTTGAGGCCAAACAGCCGACCTTTTGGAGTCTGACTGGACTGAGAGATGCTGCCCACTTTAAGCGTCCTATAGGGCCAGGCTCATGGATTAGAGAGGAGATCCTAAGATCCATTCAGGTGGAGCATTTGAAAACAAAGATGAATCTCATATTATATAAAAAATATTTGTCAAGAATTTGTTAATTTGTTTGCTGACATATTTTTACTACTACAGAGACTAATGAAATACTGAAAGTATTAAAAAATGACAGGATAGAAACTGAATATTCCAATAACTCTTCTTCTACATTGAAAACCCTCTGCTGCTGAATTGGAACTGATCCATAGCTGACCCTCCAGTTGGTGTAAACTGCTATTAGATCTCCCCTGTGGAAATCTTAGGGAAAAGATCATTCTAATTTCTGTAGCAGCAAGTTTGGATCTATTTGATTAAGTAAGAAAAGAAAACGTAACTAATAATTCCATCCATATTCTTGCCTTCAGGGTCCCCTTTTAAGCCCATCTAAACTCCTGAGCATACTTTAGCTTAAAAATTCCCCTCAAGGGTGCTAACGATAGAACAGAGAATGCTACAGCAATGAGAAAACACAGCAGCCTTAAATGAGTAGAAAGTACCATCAGAGAGGTGGAGAATTATGTAGCATTTTATAGGAAATGAGGCTCAAGGGAACATTTACAAAAAATTATCAAGAATCAGGTGCAACAGAGAGGCCACATTGCAAGTTATATTTCAGAGGACCAGGAAAATGCCTCTGGAGGTGATAACTTTGACAAAGTATACTGATGTACTGCATGATGGAGACAGACTCAATTCAGAATGAAGGGTTTGCTTCTTCCTTGCTTACTCATGATAAAGGACATTGTACTTTAAATAGTTTTTGTCTAAACTAAAAAAAACCCCACAAACAAACCTTTAGACAATTTGTTGTTGTTATGTGCTGTTGACTCATTGCTGACCCTCTAGCAGGTTTTCAGAGGCAGTTAACTGGATGTGAGAAGACTGTCCATCCTTCTCCTGAAGAGCAGCCGGTGGATTTGAACTGTGTGCCTTTGGTATTGTAGTGCAGCTTTTTACCACAAGGTTAGCATTTATGTAATCTTTTGTAGTCATGGATCAGACAGGTAAATACAAGTTTAAGAGTTTTGAAAATACTAGAATCCAAGCTTTAAAAGTAAAACATGAAATTAAAATTCTTTTTTCCAAGAAAATAAACCAAATTTCTTACTTAATTTTGACAAATCATCTTATATAAATTCCATAAATGGAATTATTAATTAAATGCATGGCATGGGGAGCTCTGGTAGCTTTGTAGTAAAGAGTTCTTTGGGAGAAAGTTGGGCAGTCTCTTCTTGTGTGATTTACTGCCTCTGAAAACCTGCTGTAGGGCCAGCTATGAGCTGATTCTGACTCGACAGTATCTAACAACAGCCAACAATGACCTTTTATGGGAGATCTGGTGATCTAGTCTTTAGTGAGTAGCACTACTAGCTGAAAGGCTACAATTCTCTGGTGGTTCAAATCCACCAGCTGCTCTATAGAAGAAAGGCAATCTTCTCTCGTGTGATTTACAGCCTCCAAAACCCCAGTGGAAGCTATGAGTCAGTTTTGACTTGACAGCAATGCCTTTTTTAAAAAACATATTTATTAATAAATAAATGATAAAATTTTATTTACATAATATTATATATTTATTTTATGTCCTCAAATGGCCATTAGACATTATATGGCCTGAATAGCACTGTGTGTAGACTGTACACTGTCCAAAACTAGAGGGCACTATTATACCATAATCAGTAAAATGTGAGTATCTTCTGCCTCCATCATACCTCACTGAATTCCATTCCATTTCTGTGTTTTAAAATCAAATCTACTTACAAAGTTTTTTCCCTATTCTCTTTATCTTGCCTTAAAGGAAGTGTGTGGTAGTGGGAGATAAAAGTCTGGAGAACACTGGGTGCCATTTTATTTCTCTGGGCTGTTTCTCTTCCCTTGAAATGCTTCAAGGCTGAATAATGGCAGAATCTTTATCCTTTCTTAATAGATGTGACTCTCATAGTCTTGGACTCTAACCTGCCTGGATGCCAAGAAACTTGTCTCTATCATCCACTAGCTAATTACTCTTCTCTAGCTTCAGTTTCCTCATCTGTACATGCAGATAAAGACATTTCCAGCTCTAAATGGTAAGATTTTTACACTCTGCTCTTGGAATCCTTACCAAATTCTTGGTAATGCCATGAAGCCTTTGAATCAGCCCTCCCACCTTTATATTAACATTCTCAGTGCTCAGTTACTGAACCACTCACTCTCAAAGCTGTTCCTAAGAACTCAGGTATACAAACAAAGCTAAAACCTAAGAGAACAGGGTACTGAAAATGCCCAAGATGGTCCCTGTCCTGGGGTTTTCCCTACTTGCTACAGAAAGCTGGACTCGATAAAAACCAGACACTTAGCAAAATAAGTGATAATTAACAGGACCAAATCTTGAGCAAGTGCCAAAAGTGCTTGATATAATGTAGAGCCAAGAGGGGAAAATGAAGCTCGATTGTGAGATCTTATTTTAAAGGTCAAAAAATTGGAAGCAGCTGCTACTACCAGAAAGAAGAGATTAAAATGCTGCATGAGGAAAAGAAGTCTTCCCATGTTTTGAAGAAGGAGAAAAGGGGAAATAAGCAGAATTTCTATGAAAATTTGGTCAGGAAGCTGGGTAAGTAACAAGGCCTTTCAAACTAGACATGTGGAGTGACAGGAAAAGTGATTCACAGAAAGTTTACCTCCAAGCTGAATGTGGGTGGGGGACATGGCATGGGATAAACATGTCCAACTTCTGAAACCCTTCACTTTCCAGTCTCTGTGAATGTTTCCTGCTGTTCACTTAGCCACCTCACACTTAACTGCACCATCACTATTTTCTTCCTTAAAAATGCGAGTCTTTTGGGAATAAGTGTAGTCTATTATTCTTAAAGAAGTTCTAGCATCTGAGACAGTGACGGCATGCAGCAGGCACTACCTCTGTAAAGAAATTTTTCACGTATACAAAGATATTTAAAAGGATCCTCAGGCTCTACTCAAAGAAATCTTGCACTTAAATATCTTTCTTAAATGACACTGATAAACAGTCAACTACTGGACTGTTGTTATTGTTTATTATTAGGTGCCATCAACTCCATTATGACTCATAATGATCCTATGAAGAACAGATCTGAATCCTGTCCCATCATCATCATCATCGCTGACACACGTGAGCTAATAGTTGCAGTCATCGGGTCAATTGATCTCATCTAGGGTCTTCCTCTCTTTTGCTGACCCTCCACTTTTCCAAGTATGATGTTTCTTTCCAAGGAACAGGCTCTTCTAAAAACATACCCAAGCGTACACGAGAGGAAGCCTTGCAATCCTTGCCTCAAAGGAGCACTCTGGCTGCAACTTCTCCAACACATATCTATTTGTTCTTTTGGTAGTCCCTGGGATGGATATTCAGTATTTTTTTTCCCAACACAACTCAAAGGCATCGACTCTTCTTTTGTGATCCTTATTTACTGTTTAGCTCTCAGACGCATAAGATGATGGCTTGTCAATCCCAGAGGTACGTGGTTCAAATCCACCAGATGCTCTGATGGAGAAGGAGGGACAATCTCCTCCTGTACCAGTCAGATCCAATTTGACGGTGCATGCACAAAAATAATAATTAAAAAACTTTACAAATTTAAAAAAAGATGATGGCTTGAATCAGGCACACCTTAGTCTTCAAACTGATAAACAATATCCTCTTTATTGAAAAATTCCCCAATTATTTTCTATAGAATTCAGTTAACTGGACTTTATTTAGGCAAATAATTTCCTTTTATTTTAAGGACTCTCAAGTTACTGCCATCCAGCCAGAACCAACTCATAGCTGACTCTCCAGTGGGTTTCTTGAGGCTAGAAATTATATAGGAGGTGACTGCCCATCTTTCTTCCATGGGGCAGATGATGGATCTAAACCTCCCAAGGTCCGAGCTGACAATACAATGCCTTACTCACTAGGCCACCAGAGCTCTTATTATAAAGAGGGGATAGCAAGCTTCAGGACTAACCTGATAATTACATGAGATAATGTATATAATGCTTGCACAACACAGGATATGGGGAGGGGGGGCGGAATAAGATCTCATACTATGTTACACCTCCAAGTTACTCACTTTTCACTGTAAATCAACTACACAAAATTACTGAGCACATTCAGTTGAGAATGAAGTAGCAGTAAGACTAGGAGGTTTGGTGAAAGGAGGACGAGTGAAAAAGGAAGGGATTATATTAGAATGGAGGGTTTAGGTAGAGTAGATTTGGCAGACAAAGAGGCAACAAAGAAAATACGGGCCTGGTGAGGTCACAGGAGTCCTCCGAAGGGAGAGAGGCACCCTAGGGAAATGAGTAAGCTAAAAATTAAAGTGGCAGGAACTTACTTGAATTTAATCTAAAGATCTGGTGATAGCACTGTACCCTGAAAGTCCTGAGGGTAAACACTAAGAGATAAGAACACTTAGCTATACCCCCAAATCCCAGGGTCAGCAGGAACAGGAAAGGAAAACATCTTTGGTTAAGCCATGGGTCATTCTGTGGTCTTTACCTCAGGGGAGAAGAAAGACTGGTAGATATGCTTGCTGGCTTACAGATCGGCTGTTGCCACTTTGCCTTCATGTGTTCTTTATTCCCCCACAGTTTCCTTCCCCACCCTCTAGATTACCTGCTGCTGATAGAAGTTGCTGGCACTTTGTTCAAACCGTTCATCTTTGGTTTCTACCGTTTTCCCCAACTTCTGCAGTACCTGGGGAAGCAAATCAGAAAGACCCAAAGATTACAGTCAATTCTCTTCTCTGTCGGCCCAAGCCTGTCTCAGTGCTGTACTCCTATCAGTCCAACAAATGTGGGAATGTAACACTTACCTGAAAAAGCAGTCATAAACATCATTTTTCTCAAATTCAGGTGCCTTCCTACTCTCTCACTGCCATCGAGCAGAACTGGCTGATAGTGGACTTTTGGAGGCTGAAGATGGCAGGAGACTGCCTCCCCTTTCTTCTGCAAAGCTGGAACTGAACGTCCAGAGAGGTTCCCTTGGGTTAGCAGTGCAACTCACTAGTATGTCACCAGAGCTCCCCCAGGGTGCCTTGTTAAGTGCTGTCCAGTCAGAAATGACCCACAGCTGACCTGCAAATGGGTTTTCAGAGACAATCGATTGCATGGGTGGAACTTATCCATCTTTCTCCTGCAGAGCAGCCATGGATTTGAACTATAAGCCTTTGGGCTGGCAGTGCAACTCCTTACCACTAAGCCACCAGAGCTACCTTAGGGTGTCTGAGTGGTATGTAATGATGTCTCCTCCTATTGGGATTTACAGCTTCAGGAACCCCAGTGGAGGGTTGCTATGAGTTGTAACCAACTCCACAGCAGTGAGTATGAACTCTTTTGTGAGTGGTATGTAGTAATGTGCTGCGACACATAGCAATGGGCTGCGGTATATAAGTAGCCCTATTATTTAAAGGGATTTTAAAAATGAAGACATTGCTAATATATTAACAGGAATTACTACAATTTTATTAGTAAAAATAATGCGAACATACATGACATTTAAAGATAAAACATGAGTCTTAAGGATGTTTTCCCCCACTTTTAGCCATAACTTATTCTTTTTCTGGGTCAATGGTAGACTAGATTAGAGAGTGGACAGAAACTCTTCTCTCATGGATGGCTCCCATGGAACACTTTGAGAAGCCCTAATGAAATACATCTGAAACTTAGCTAGAAATGAATGCTGTCTATATCTATCTCCTCTCCACAGAAAAACCTCAGTCAGTCATACAGGCTTTCTGGCTTAATGCAAAACTCATGGAGATGAAAAAGACTTGGGCCCTGTTCTTTCTTGTTCTAATTTTTTTTTTAAATTTATTTTATTAATTTTAATTAACATTTACAGACATTTTGGATTTTCATTCATTCATTGTTGCACTTTTTTCTTTAACCCACTCCCCCTAGTTCACTCCTCTCTTTGAAAAGCAAAAAATAAACTTCTACATTGGTATGCAATCCTCCCGACCCCAGTGCACTCCATTATGCAACCTTAATTCTGGATTCCTGTGATTATCATAATATGCTATCATATATCACTTTTAAACTGTTCTCTCCCTCATCTGTTTCAATTCAGTATACATAATCTATCCAGTTTTTCTCCGTCTTACCCCAACCCTGATGTCAGTCACTTTCTACAACAGTGTCACCATGCAGTATTTGTCCTTTTGTGACTGAGATTTTTTTCTTGTTCTAATTTTTATTTGAGGAAAGTTTACAAATCATGCTGGTTTTTCATGCAACCAGTCATACACATTTTTGCTTTTTAACATTAATTATAAATCATATCAATGTAATTAATTATAATGTATGATCAACCTCTAATTGCATATTACCTTTCCCTTCAACCTACTTATCTTCTTAATAATTTTTACTCTCCTCTCTCTCCCTTCCTATTTCTGATAACCACCCAGGAATGATTCTGTGAATAAACCTGTCCTTAGCTTTTTATAATGTTGTTGTTAGGTGCTGTCGAGTTTTGTACGATTCATAGTGAATGTATGAATATATCTGAACCCTGTTCTATTCTGTGCCATCTTCACAATCCCTGACATACTCAAGCTCATTGCTGCAGTCACTGAGTCAATCCACCTGGTTGATGGTCTTCCTCTCTTTCGCCACCCCTCCACCTTTTCAAGTATGAAGTTTCTCTCCAAGGCATTTGCCTGTGTGGATCATAACAAATTATGGCTAACATTGAGAAGAATAGGAATCCCAGGGCACTTAATTGTGCTTGTACAAAATCTATACCTGAACCAAGAGGCTACAGTGCAAACAGGGCACTGTTCCAAGGGAACACTACTTGGTTGAAAAGTAGGAAAGGTATGTGTCAGGGTTGTATACTTTCTTTATACTTATTTAATCTGCATGCTGAGCAAATTATTTAAGAGGCTGTACTCTATGAAGAAGAATGTGGCATTGGAATTGGAGGAAGATTCAATAACCTTTGTTATGTAGATGAGACAACCTTGCCTGCTGAAAGTGAGAAGGACTTGAGGCTTTTGCTGCACAAGGTTAAACATTGCAGTTTTCAATATGGAATGCATCTCAACATCCAGAAATCAAAAATCCTCACCACTGGACCAATAGGCAACATCGTGATAGATGGAGCTTTTTAGGAAAGATAGACTACTATTTATAAAGGAAAGGACAATCTTGTTGATTATCCTATCTTGACAATTCATGTCTCTTAGCACAATTTCCTATAGATTCATCCATATTGTCAACATTTCATAAATTCATTAACATTCTTTAGAATTGTATATAAACTCTATTAAATGAAGGTACCATGGTTTTTCTAGTCATTGGTTCATTGATGAACACTTGGGTTGTTTGCATGTTTTTGCTACTGTAAATAACACTGTAATAAACATAGGTGTGTATAAATGTTTGTGACACAGGTTTCCTTTAATTTTTAATTTCTTTATGATATACCTAGTAGTGAGATTGCTGGATCAAATGTTATTTCTTTTCCTAGGTTTCTAAAGAGGCATCAGATTGCTTTCCATAGTGGTTATACCATTTACTTTCCCACCAGGAGTGTTCTAATCTCTTTCACTCTCAACAGCATTTGCTTATTTGTTAAATGTTGCTGGAGTGAAATGATAGTGAATTATTGTTTTGATTTGCATCTAAGAGTTAATGAGCACAATTAAGTGTTTTAGGATCCCCATTCTTCCCACCAGTAGCCACAATTTGTTGTAATCCACACAGTCAAATGCCTTTACATAGTCAATGAAACACAAACCCTGCTTTTGGCTAAGATCCATCTAACACTGGCTATAATGTTCCTTGTGCCACGGCCTCTTCCAAATGCAGGTTTGCACATCTGGCAGTTCTCTGCTGATGTATTGTTCCAATCATTTTTGGATAATCTTTAGCAGGATCTTGCTTGAGTGTGATAGTAGTGATATTGTTTGATAATTTCCACACTGTTGGGTCACGGTTTTTTGGAATGGAAATAAATATAGATCCCTTCCAGTCAGCTGGCCAGGAAGTTTCCTCCAGAACTCTTGGCATAACCTGGTGAGTGCATCCGGAGCAGCATCTCTATGTTAAAATATGTCAACTGGTATTTCATCAATACCTGGGGCTTTGTTTTTTCCCAATTCCTTCAGAGTAGCTTGAATTTCCTCCTTCATCCCCATTGCCTCTTGATCATATGTTGTTTCATGAAATTCTTCTGTGTCAGCAATTGGTCTTCACAATTACTTAGTATGCATCAGACAACTGGACAATAATTAAGGATGATAGAAGAAGGATCGATGCCTTTGAGTTGTGGTGCTGGAGAAGATTGTTGAACATACTATGGATTTCCAGGAGAACAAATAGGTAAGTCCTAGAGAGGGTGAAACCAACCTGCTTCCTGGAGGCAAAGGGTTTTTGTTTTTTTTTTTAAATTTAGTTGTGTGCGTGTGTGTGTGTGTGTGTACATCGTCAAATCAGATCTGACTGGAACAGGAGGAGATTGCTCCTCCTTCTCCAGCAGAGCATCTGGTGGATTTGATGCACTTACCTCTAGGATTGCAATGCAGCTTCTTGCCACTAGGCCACCAGAGCTCTCTGAGGCAAAGGTTTTTTATTTTTTGGGTTTTTTTTTTAAGGCAAAGGTTTTGAAGCTCTTTCTCACATACTCTGGGCATATCACTAAGAAGGACCAGTCCTTGGAGTATGACATCATACTTGGAAGGGTGGAGGGACAGCACAGGAGAGGAAGACCCAGGATGAAATGGACTGACTTAGTGACTGGAGAAATGAGATTAGATCTGTTGGAGACAATGAAATTGGCTCAGGATAGGGCACGGTTCAGAGCTCTTGTAGATAGGGTCATTATGAGTTGCAGGCAATTCAATGGCACACAACAACAAGAGTTAATGATTTTGAGTATTTCTTCATATGTTTGTCGGTCATCTGAACATTTTCTTTGGTGAGGTGTCTTTTTATGCTCTCTTCCCATTTTGTAATTAGGTTGTCTTTTTCTTGAGGTGTTAAGAGCATTCTATAAATTTTAGAGATTAGTTCCTTGTAAGACATGTCACTCCCAAATATTAATTTCTTTTTTTTTTCCAAATATTCATTTGGCCTTGATCTTATGTAGCTTACACAATGGAAACTCAACTAGTTGCGTGTACTATAGAACATTAGGGGTATAAAGGTTAAGCACTTAGCTTCTAACCAAAAGGTCAGGGATTCCAAAGGAGAAAACAAACCAACCCAACCCTGGTGATCTGCTCTTGTAAACACTGTTGTTGTCTGCTGACCCATAGCAGACCCTCTAGGGGGTTTTCAGAGTCAGTGAATTGCACAGGAGATTGTTGACCCTTCTCCTGGAGAGCAGCTGGTGGATTTGAACTGTGTGCTATCTTTAGAGAGGTCTTTGACAGTAGAGTCTCCCAATGCAGCACATATTTTGATTTCTTGATTGCAGATATCACGGGTCTTGATTGTGGATCCACAAAGAAGGAAATCTTTGACAATTTCAATCTTTCTTCATCTAACATGATGATATCTATTGGTCCAGTGGTGAAAAGTTTTGTTTTCTTGATGTTCAAATATTGTCCACATTGAAGGTTGTAGTCGTTAATCTTCTGCTGTGAATACTTCAAATTTTCTTCACTTTGTGCAAAGTTGTGTCATCTGTGTAATTCAGGTGGTTGTTGTTATGTGCCGCCAAGTCGTCTGCGACTCATGGCGACCCTCTGT